TACGTGAACATGCTAGACCTTGAGGTCAAATCTGGAAACTTTCTAAGAGAATGCCCTGCACCTATACTGGAACTCTCCCTTTAAAAATGGACAATTATGAACACAGTTAACACAGTTTCAAATTTCAAATACAATTCCTTCACATTGTGAAGACTGATACACTGCAGTTCTTCAAACATCACACTGAAACTGCAGCAGAATCACATACAACAGGGTTATCAAAGTTGTTTTGCTCCAGAGTCAAATTTTCTGATATTAAATGTTATAGTATAAATATGTCAAACAAGATCCTGGCAAAACAGGCAAAACAAAATAGATTGTTTTCTTAAATATAGTTTTGGGATTTAAAAATGGCCTCTAAAAAATAGAGAAAAAATGGTGCAAACTTTGCACAGGAATAGAAATTCTTTGTGCATTGTCCTAAAAATAAATGGTAAGATTGCCAGCTGAAAGGCATTTTGTGATCAGAACAGTTTATTTTGCTAAAGGGCATTCTTAAACACAGAACATTTTTGCCACACTATTGACATTCTGTACAAGACAGCATAATAGTTTGTGCCCTTCATAATGCCCAACATGGGTAAGAGATCTTGCCAGAGACTGAAAAATTGTCAATAAGACAGGGGAACAGAGTGGGTTCTGCTATCTTTTTTACTGCCACACAGAGAAACATGTCCCCTCCCTGTGCTCCACACACAGTTAGCAATGAGAGAACAAGCACTGCATCAAAGGGCTACAAATGAATACCTAAGGCTACACAAAACCACTCATGACCATACCATACGACAAAGCCTTAACTCTGGCTTTGTCATTCCTGTCATTACAGCACCAGCAAGTTTACAAAACAATGAACTCAGCCTGTGTTAAAAATGGAGTACTGCTCTCGTGACATAGTACATGTGCTGAAAGGGCGGTGGTGTCTAAGTAGCCCAGCGAAACAGGGACACCTTTTACAGATTGTCCTGCATGTCTCCCCAGCGCTTGATGGTAGTAGATTAGGTATAAAGCCCTTTCATTAGTGCTCGTCTCCTGACTTATCTATTGATAAATCAGTCATGCCTTGCTGGCCTAGACAATAGCATTTCTGCTGTGAATAGAGGGATGCACTCAAATAAAGGCTTCCTACCCCATCAGACCAAGCACCTCTGAATTGCTTACCATCTTGTGCTCTGTTGAGTGCATCTTATGTCTGAAATGGATTATCTGCTTGGAACTTCATAATCATAATTCCCGTTTTCAAAATGGTTAGCAAATGCATAAGCCCATGTTCAAATATTAGTTATGACTTTGCAAGCTTTCCTTACAAATGTTTATTTGCCCAAATAGGTTGAAAACAACAGTGGCTATAATACATCAATATTTGAAATCAACGTGCTCTAAATGCTTGAAATAAACTATTGTGGTATATATGTTATAATCCAAATAATACACTATCATTTCTAAATCATGTTAAACATAAGCACTAAACACTTATATATTTTGATTTATATTTTCACACCACATTTTCCACCCTAAACACTGTAGATTTATTTTATTTAGGCATGCTTATTTGTGGAAACACATTGGTACTTCATAAAACCAATCATGCTTTTATTTAATCTAAATGAGTGAAAGCAGTATAACTACAGCATGAAATTATTTGGCTTCCCCCTCTGTTTCATGCCTTTCCTTCCTTATTAAATAGTCAGAGCTCTGAAGAGATGAGGGCCTTTATCACTCAGAGATAAGGTAAAAAGACCTATTGACTCAATTCATAAAGACACAGCCTTTCTCAAATGCACTGTAAATACAGTCATTCTGTATGCAAACACACTCAACAAGGCATTCAATCCTGTCTGCAGAGGTGCCGATAGACCTCACAAACATTTACTAGTTTATACAGACCAGTCTCTCTGTCCCATTCAGTGCATTAATGTCTCCAAACAACCTCCTGTAGTCCCTTTTACCTTTACAAAAGAGGCTGGTTTACACACAGAGAAGAGACAGAGCTAATTAGATCATTCTGCTCTACTTCATTGTCAGCTCCCTTGCTTCTACCTTAGAGGTAATATGTCAGTTTACACACAATCACACTCCCAGGGCTACTTGGCCAGTACTTGGAAAAGGAAAGAGATAAAAGAAATTGTATTCCTTTTTTAAAGGTCTTGTGGCAGACAGATGACTGAGGCCAGAATTAATAATAATAATAATAATAATAATAATTGCTTACACTTATATAGCGCTTTTCTGGACACCCCACTCAAAGAGCTTTACAGGTAATGGGGATCCCCTCCACCACCACCAATGTGCAGCCCCACCTGAATTTGAACTCAGGACACAGTAGTCACCGTACCTCCTTGCAATCTAGTCATACGTAATCAAACGTGCACATTTTAAATCATCTATTACTTTGAAAAAAACGTTTTCAGGAAACGTAGTGCACTGCATGCTTCTGATTTTTCAATATTATACAATATCACCCAATGTATCTGTGTGAATAGAAGTGGTAATTAGTTAACATATATGAAGAAAATAACTGAAAAATGAGCATTCAGGCTTATGTAGTAACATTCTCACATGGCAGACAAGTTATCACTTTGTAAATGGCTGCTTTACAAACACATGGTACTTGCCCTTGGGTTAAATGCAAACATATCTTGTTTACACAGTCAGCTGTCCTTGAGGTTCTTATCTATGGAAATGAACCCAATGCACTCTGGACTGAGGCCACAAACTGCACTAAAATGAACTACATAAAACCTGCAACAGCTCCTTAGTCTGCTGTACTTATAGCATTAATTTTAGACTATATTTATAATCTTAGTGTAATTAGTACCTTTAAAGGCTCCATTCAGTCTTGATGACACACATCTGCACAGTTTGAGCAGTCAATATCAAGGATAGTGTCCTCATTATTGGAATTATATATTGTCCATACTATCATTAAAAGAAACCCGTGCTCATAAAATGTAAATGTATGTCATGTACCTCAAGAGGTGCTATTTTGCTGAATGCATGGTGTGATATTTAATGAAAGACAAGGGTGACGTTTGCTGCCATTGTGACCTCCCCCAGACACACAAGGGTAAAAACAAGAGGATGTAGCAATTCAGGGATGATTCTCTAGGATAAAGAGCATGGGGCGGTGTGGTGGCTCTGTGGCTCAGGATCTGTGCCTGTGGGTGGGAGGTTGCCAGTTCATATCGCCCAGCCGGCAGAGGAATCCTACTCCATTGGGCCCCAGAGCAAGGCCCTTAACCCCAACTGCACCAGGGGTGCCGTATAAATGGCTGGCCCTGCACTCTGACCCCAGGATTCTCTTCCTGTCTGTGTGTCTCATGGAGAGCAGGCTGGAGTATACAAAAAGACAAATTCCTAATACAAGAAATTGTATATCGCCTATGAAGTGAAGTGGAGTACTTCTGTAGATAACATCAAATAAAAAAAACACCTGAGGAGGAGGGATAGATCATCTCATCTCCTTCCTGTTGGTTCACTCTCTCCTCTAGCTCCTCCTAGTTTGCTTTAACACAAGCACTTGTAGTGTGATGGTCTTGGCAGCCAGCCTGCTCTGAAACCACCCGTCCCATTAAAATAATTATAGTATAATGCCACAGTGCCTGTTTAATACCGTGAGCATGCAATTGTCTTGTCGGCTGCCAAAATTGCTTAGGACTATGTGGGGCTGTGAATGAGAGGCTTAAAATTGCATGTTTTGTTAGACATCATTTATTGGTTTAACCTGTCCACCTCAGGGGACAAGTCAACAGACAAGTTAAAGCTCATTTGAGTCAATCACGTGTTGGTATATTTTTAATCCCTAGCTCCTGCTTCTTATCTTTGCAATGACTCCGGCATCTAAATATTGTTCTTTAAATACATAAGTTAATCTTGCAAGGTTCACACAAGCTGATGGACTCTTTTATCGAAGCAGACCACCTTGTCTGAGATCTGAGGGATCTGAAGCACACTTGCACATCCACATTCAATGCAGCTCTCCCTTAACTTCTTCCAAAAGAAAAATGGTTTCTTTTGCTCTCCGACACTGTAGATCACTGTTATTAAACAAAAATGGAATTCCAGAAAACAATTTATACATGTGGCAATTTCTTGAAAGAAAGTCAAAGTCTGCCTATTCAACTTTCACCACAAAATGCTTTAAAGGGGGTAGAGGAATGATAAGTCAATGACAACTGGAAATGGCTAAAAAAAGATGAATGTTAATCTGGATCTAAATAAAGACAGGGAGAGACTCCACAGGGAAAAGCCCCTGGCCTGTTTCTCCCATCTTTAATGGGCTTCCAGTTCCCAGTCCCTTCAGCTGCAAAAATGGGCTGGGGAACAGCCTTGCCTCCAAACAGCAATGATTTCTCATTTATGTCACTGGAGCTCCAGAACGTGCCTTAATTATATTGCTCTTTGCAATTAGCAGAGTGCCCGACAACTGGGAATGCAGGACTATTTTTCTAGAAATAAAATTACCACACAGCAACAGAATAATGCAGTCTTTAGACTTGAGCAGAAATCCATTACGGCATCCTAAATAAAGAGCGATATCCTCTGATTAATTCAATAATTACTGCCCTGCAAGTGGACAAATGCAAAGCTTTCAACAATAGCAGGCGTGTGTGTATGTGGATATTATTCTAATGCAACAAGAGGTGGTGGGGGGTAACCTGTGAACAAATAGAGGATGTCATTAATAGAGTGCTTTATTAGCTGTGCCGCAGTGAAATGGAGTAGGCTGCATGTGTCACTGCTCTTATCTTACCCCGGGCAGGGCGAGCGGAGGCACTCATACACACTGTAAAAATCAGCCGCTTCATTTTCTGCCTGAAAAGCTCATTGTAGGAAACTGGCAGGCGGAGGAGGAGGACATGCTGATTTATTGGCAATTAAAATAGCAGGGCTCCTGGCCGCCATGGAACAGCCTGCTGAGCCTGTGTGAGTCTCTCAGAGCCACACTCCCCCTCTCCTCCAAGCACCTCCCTTTCCATCACCGAGCAGCACGCTAACAGAGCCACTGTTTGTCTGTTTATTCATCAGTCCATTTTTCTACCATACAAAGCAGGATCTGGAATTTCTCATTGTTGTTTTTTACGTTGTGATTGTGCTCAGCATGGACAGAGGCATCTTCTTCCTTAACCCCTTCTCAGGAGATGAGGACATCGTGATCTCAATGGAACCCCCGACCAGCAGACTGTTTCTCGAGACAATGATGGGCAAGGATTTGGCTGCAATGAATCTGGATAATCCATCTGCACTGAGGAAGAGAATTAGAATCCTGATAAACAGCAGCAAACCTGGGTAGCGGAGGTCTGCCCTCCTGCACAAATGAAATGCACAACTATATTCTCCCGATCATGTATATTTTGCTTTGGATCTGTTGTGCATCAGCTTCAGGAATGACAAACTGCTCACACAACACCAGCTCCTTTTTGAGAACAGCTGAAAATAAACAGGACATAAAGATGGTCATTTTACAGAAATCACAGATTAATGTATCTCTTTCCCTGCCTCTGCTAAAAAAACAGCTGGGGTTCTCATAGCGATGAGAGCAGGGACAGAATATAGCCAAACACACACTCCTCCAGTAGTCCACAGGGTATAAGCCCCCCTTCAGCATCACCCTTCTATTGATCTGTCTACTTTAAGCAAACATTCATATGAGCCACTCTGATCCATTAATGAGTGCAGTCTCCAGGGAGGTGCTTGCCATGCTGTTAAACTTTGAGTGCGCTTCTTATATGCTTTCTACATATTGGCGCAAGCTAACACAGACATAAACACTCGCTCTCTTTCTCATAGGAGATGGTACTCCCAGAAATCAGTCGCTTCCCTTTCGTTCTGAAAGCCTACCAATTTCAGAGATTAAATGGCATTAGCAAGGCTGCAGTATCCATCTTCATTTCAGATAATAATGCGCTGAGAGAATGTCTGTGGATGAGCTAAACCAGTAAACCCGAATGGCAGCCAATGCAGGACACTCTGGAATATCTGCTGGTTGTATTGATCATTAACAATTTAGCACGCGATAAAATAAATTGCATCCCCTCCATCTGTAGCACATAAATCACATTATTACTGTCAGTAGCACAGAACAAATCATTTTAGCAGGAAGGCTACTTGAATTGACTGTTTTCATGGAGTGCTGTCTTTCATTTTTCTGCATGACCTGCTGTCTCAGCACTACAGGACTGATATCAGAACCATTGCCATTCCATTCATGCTGCCTCTATAAATAGCTCTGTCTAAATAACATTGTTCTGACTAGAATGAGCACAACTAAAGGAAATAATTATCAGGGATTTAAGGATTTTTTGACATGATTCATGCATCGTAGTATGCTTCCAGTACCTGCTTTATTGTTAACTTGACCTTTGAGTAAGTTAGTTTACAACATAAAATTATCTGTCTACTGTATGTAGATAACCTGGATAGATAGATCTCTCCATCTTAATTAGTAATTCAATTTTATGAGTGCTTTTCACCAAACTCAAGCCACTCAAATCTGTAGTTATAAATCTGATACATGTTGTGCAATTAATGTATTTATTGAGCTGGATGTGTGGTGAGGTGTTCATTTTTGTAAAAGGTAATTAAGGCATTACATAACTGTTCAAAAACTGAATAATGGATATTTAAAAAATATATCTATTCATTCAACAATATCAAACACGAGGCTTGAGAATTACTTTCAGAATTCCTGACAGTTACCCAGGCATATGACAGAAATACAACAGGCTGCATACCTCAAATGGAAACCCTGAAAAGATACATCGTCCCCTACACAATTCCAGGGTGTAATTAGTTCAAAATATGTATCCCTGCACCCAATTGCCAAGATCAGAAATACTCCATAGCTATTGGAAAGTTCAACCGGGGCCTAAACCATTTTGATTTGCTTACATGATTTGCCACATCATGTAGTTCAGCTTGCTGAATAGCCTTTTAAATGTGCTGGACATTGATGATTCTTGCAGTGGTGAAGTGTGAAGGGTGACCTGTACAATTCCCTGGGGCACCAGGTAGATGACACCCATGTGTGACTCTTTTGCTGCTATGATTTCACCCTGACATGCACCAGCAATGCACACGCAGACACAGAAGAACAGCTGTGAGATACAATCCAGTTGTGAGGAAGAGTGAGAAGGCACTGCTCCCCGTTGTTCCAGTCCACCCAGCTGTACAAATGGGAACATTATATGCATTACTGTGCAGAGTGATAGACCAGTGTCCCGTCCCATCAAGTGCTCCCAGTTTGCTTAACACTACAGAATCCAGGATAAGCTCTGGCCCAATGCCTTGCTCTGGTATTGATATATATATATACTTTTACATTATATTATAATTTTTATAACATACAGTCAACATTTACATTACACAATAAACATTTTATCACAGGAGTTTTATTCTAAACGGCACTGTAGAGCTGTCTGACTGGAGTGGTGTAATTTCTAAACACGTCTGATTCTCAAACCAATTTCTACCTTAAAACACTTTGTCTTTCCTGTAATAAACACAGCTATGCCAGGAAGCAGCCTTGTGTTTTGTTGAACCAGAAAGTATTATCTGCTGCTTTTTCTGCCCTCCTCCACCTAACATGAGACAAGTCACATGACAAAGTATAAAAGAAACCATAGCAAATCGAAGCCATGGAAATATAGTCATGAATACAGCCAGGACACTAAAAGTACACGGTGCACTGGCAATCCTCTGTGAGCAACAGTGTGAATGATTTCTGCTGTTGGCTTCACCAAACAAAGCTCAGCACCCCAGCTTCAAAAGAGGTGCTCTGCTGCCTAGAAACAGCCCCCATCAGCAATTAAACTGCTTCTTAAACTGCACTGCAAAGTCCACAGTCACTTTTAACAAGCCAGTGAAATCAATCAGGCTGAAGATGAATAAATAAGCAAAATAGGTGGAAAGACAGCAGGGAGTGAACTAATACAGTCCAGACTGGAACGAGACATGGACTATCTCTGTAGGTCCCCAGATATAAGAGCAGGAAAAGATTTCAGAAAATAATTTTTCATGGGTTATTAAAATGGTTATAAAATCAGAGAATAATCGTGTTAGTTATCAATGAACCTGACAGTGCACCACTTGTAGGCTGAGCAGATACAGTTTCAGGAGTAGCTATCTGTCTGAAGGGGAAGAAAAGCTGAACATTTTAGGACTCATAGCTAACAGAACAGGATTCTCTGATGTTTGAGAGATTTGGCTTAGTTTATAATACCAAGAAAGGCCTGAGGGATTTGGGTTTTTGAATGAATAATTATTTATATATTTATTTTGCTAACAACATTAACCAAGGCAACCCATGATTAATTACAGTTATTTCATAACACAGTATAAACGCAAACATAACAGTAGAAAATGCCCCATTGTGTCACTGAGTAACTCCAGGACAAAGGTTGTAGCTGTTATGCGAACAACTGTCTCCAGAAAAAGAACCAAATACATTTTACATATGGTTAAGGGAATGTACTAAAACACTTTATTTTTTTGTTCACAGCCTTATTCCAACAGCAGTGTTAGCAAATTCTCTTCTGATCTTGAGCGATCTCAGGATCAAGGAAAAGCTAGTCAGTTCTGGGATGAGAGACTTCCAAGGAAAACCAGAATGCTCCTGTAAGGGTTGTTTTGTGGAGCAGTAGGTAGTCGTTCGCACTGCACTGTGTGGAAGAGTAGGGGTATGAGCTCTGATGCCCTGGATAACTGAATACTCTGGTCCTGCACCACCTAGCCTCCTTATCACTTAATTCAATTTGAGAAGCATTTTTTTCACTTCTCTGGCTGATCTACAGTATAGTTAGTGGAGCTTTTAGACATAATTTTCAGAGGTTGACGAAAACAGTCCCTTCCTTGATGCAAAGGGAATAGTGATTCTTTAGGATGTAAAGCGCCATATAAACTCAAGTAATTATCATACTCGTTATTTTGGCATGGCGAAATTGATCTTAAATAAACTCGAGTACGTTACACATCAGGCTCTTCTTTGAGATGCGCTGTATAAGTGAACTGCTCGACATTGTATCAGATTAACTACTTCTGTCATCCGCTTCGCAGACCGCACGGCTCAAAGACCCGCCGGCAGGACTTCCCCGCCAAAATGACGCACACGAATTCTAAATCCCACCTTTCGATTGGCCTCTATTCTGCCACGCGCCGCCGTTCCCTTGCCGGGTTCACTCCCTCCGCGGGAAGCGGAGCGTGTTCTGCTACATCGCTCCATCCTTCCCGGCGCCGCACGCATTTGCAGCGTGCGAGTTCAGTGCAGACTAAAAAGAGAACACAAGGTGAAGGACGGCATCTCAAGTGAAAAGTTACTGAATGAAAACGGGTTCTCTGCGCTGCCTTACCTAGCTGGGGTTCTTAGTGTGGGACAGGATTTGAAACTGACGCCATTCCGTTTCTACACTGCCGGCCGTTTCTCCCTTGAAGGCCAGATGCTCGGTGAGCCCAAATGGCGTACGGAAGGGGTCGCAGTTGCTTGCGCTTTTCTAAAAATGTTGCTGCGCTGCGGCAGTTGCCAGGGGACGTCGGAGGGGAGGGGGCGTGATTGGCTGAAGTAGCCTTGTTGCCGTGGCGACGGCAGGGGGTTTGGTAGCGTTGCCGTGCGGTGTGATTTCTGCGCTGCGTGGATGGAGGAAGCAGCTGCTGATCTCTGACACAGTGAGAGAGACAGGCATCTATATGCACATACTGTATACAGATTCACTGCCATATTGCTAAACAGGCACAGCGTGCATGCATGTAAGTACAAACGTGAATTCATTTTTTATGCTTAACAATGCCTTTGGGTAGTTCTCCCTCTTTATCCTGTGCACTGAAGAGAAAATGGGTTATATGAATTAATAACGTGACGCGATGAATATTTATTTCCCCTCCATATATCTTTTAAGGACGTATGGTAGGATTTGGAGGGACACTTGACTCCCCACTTCTGTGGTCCAGTTTTTTTTTAAAAAAGAAAAATGTGTGTGTTGTGTGTAAGTTATTTCGTTCTCCGAGTTGGGCTTCGATTTGGTTTAACTTCGGTCCCGGTCAGAGCAAGTTAATGTGGTGTATTGGAAGAAATAAAGTTGACGGATTTGACATGTTTACGCAACATTGTTGGGGAGATAGTTGAAACGCCTCTGTCTTAGCGTTCTTTTGTTAGTATACAGTATTATTGTGAACCAGTAATACAAAACACAAAGGATCGTTTATATGTAATCCCCTTCCTTACCCAAGAATGGACTGTGTAGATAGATTGTATATCCACAAAACAGAAGGCAGGGTCATTGAATGCGTTTCGTCTTAGCGAGCCCTTATCGTGTTCCTGTAACGAGTCATGCCATTCCGAGAAGTCCTGGCAGGGTCGGGCTTCGCATTGTATTTATTTGGGAGACTTTCTTGAGGACTAGCCGAGCTGAATGCACTTCATATTTGGAAAATGCTCGCAGTGCTCACCAGCACATTCTCAAACGGTACGGGAATCAGGAAACACTCGCCTCGGCTCGAATGTAGGGCAGCTGTGCCGCGTGGGCAAACCAGCCGTTCGCGTGCTCACGTCTGCGGCGCGGCCGTTCCGGAACGCACAGCTTTAACTTTTATTTCACGTTGAAATCTAATAAAGATAACGTGGGTATAAGGAGGGAGCCGTGCGCATTGTTTCCGGTGAATCGGGGGCTAGATTGTATCGCTGAGTGACAGAGACACGTGGTCAGGGGGAGCCGGGCCGAGCTAGAAAAGGTTTCGGGAAGGGCTGTACCGACAACTTCTCTCCGTCGAGCTCGTCACATGAGGTGTGTTTCTGGTTTGACGGTGCTCTTGTTTGTCGCCCATGCACCCTGCTTCGAAAAAAAAAAAATTGCAGGGCGCCGTGCCAGACACAGAGCGAGAGCTCCTGCCGTGCGGACCCGAGGAATCCCACACGATTCTATACTTAGCACTGGCCGACATCTCGGCGTAGTGTTTTTAATTTAGGCATTTTTCTCGAATAAACACAACGCGGAGTAGTCTAGACGGGTAGACGCTGTCTTCCCCCCCCACCTCCCAAACAATGGATTTTCGATTTGTGTGCGAAGATCAGCGAGCCCCGGTGAGGGTCTGAGAGGCAGCGGCACCCGGGATCGAAGTCTGCTTTCCCCCGTTGGCATTGCGTTTTTGTTGAACTTGTATGGAAATAGCCATAAACTAAAAGACGATAATAACTCGGAAAGTGTACTGGGCGTCCCTTAGTTGCTCGTTTACAAGAATTGATGGTGCACCCAGTCCTGCTACAGTAAGGATTCCAGGGGCTTTTTTTCGACATTTTCCCGATTCCGTCACTTAATGTACCTTTCAGTATGTCCCCATGTGTCACACTGACTCGGAGTGGGGATCTGACCACATTCCAACAGATTTGTCCACCACAGCCTCTGTCCTGTAACAAGATGATATCATCCCGTTAGTTTGTCTGTCTGTTCAGGAAAGTACGTGAACAATCACTATCATGCATCAACGGGCTGTTTATTGCGGTGAAGTTTGATCGGCTTACTTTCGGTTTATTTTTCTTGTCTTTTGCAAAAGTGTTGTGAAGGTTTTAGCCGACAGGCCCGGTGATCCCACAAAAGCAGTGCAAAGGTTGATCTTTAGCTCTGGAAGTGGGTAATCTCTGAACACATGATGTAGTAGGTAACAGCAAAAGCATGTCCCAGATCTGCAGTGCATTCCAATCAAAGTGTTTCTCTCTGAGCTGTGTGGTAGATGGCCTGTGCACATTGGCAGAGTTTCATTGCCACGCATGGCTGTTACCAGTGGTTTTAGTGTCTTTTCGAAGAATTGCATCAATATGGGATTCTCCTGTCTCTTTACTGTCATGTTTGTAGCGATTGCGTAAAGACAGTTACTGGAATACCTTTGAACTGGACTGTAAGACTGGTTTGCTCTTTATTCTGTTGAAGTTTCTGTGCATCAGGTGTGCTCAGTCACCCAGTTGGTCTAGCAGATGCTGTTTGCTGGCACCTACGTAGATAAATAAAAACAAAGAAGCCAGAAAATATAACAACCTGTCTTTTAATTACATGGAATCCGGTCTCTGAGAATGCTATATAGACTAGAATGGCTTTTCGTTTCAACCATCAGTGGAGTTGGTTACTGTCTGGTGTGTGTGCCCTTGTTTAACAGTCAATTATTTTATTTAAGGTGTGTACCAGTGAAAGTTAAAATGTTAGCCGTTGCAGAGATAGGAACAAAATGTGTGCCTTATCCTAGTTTGTCCCAATACTAAAAATAAAACATGCCATGTAAGTTATGCTCTTTTTGCTGATGCTGGCCCGAATGAATTCAGCTGTATTGCATTTAGCAAAGTAAGTTTTTGGCACTGTAAGCAGATTCATTCATTGTCATATGGCACAAAAACAAATTAAAATTAAGTGAAATTGTACTTTTTGTGAGCACTTTGGCCGTTGTGTAATTTTTGTCATTTTTGGATCCGTTTTTTTTTTGGTTGGTTCTCCAAGATGGTATAAAACTGTAGTTGAAGCCACTTTAATTGTGTAAATGGTCTGGCCCCCATACTCTCTTCATAGCAGATTATGCAAATCACATCTTCCTTCATGGTAAAACTGTGAAAATACCAGCTACAAAGTGTGTGATTTGTCATTATGGCTTTAATTCTTTGAAAAGGGGAACTTTGCAAAACGAAACATTTCTTCCCAGCATATCCATTTTAGGCATAAACTAATGTGTTTTTTTCCTCTCTTAAAAAAGAGCACAAGCAACTAGACCCTATTCAGCAGAACCTGGACTGAGTTTTAATTTTGTCTCTTGTTTGTTTGTAGTTCCTTGATATATGATAAACTGTTGTGAAAGATTTGTGGGACACATCTTAAACAACATGTTTTCGGGCTTTCTAAAAAAAGAAAACCAGTCTGTTTTGTCAACATGGTTAAGGTGGTGTGAATTTCTAGTTTATATGGACAATCAGTGAAATGAGACCTTGTGTGTTACTTTACAGATGCTTGGAAGGTTTTTGATACCAGGTTTGCCCAGTTTAAATATTTAGATTTTGTTTTTTTAGAAACCACAGACTATCTTGCTAATTGAGCTTTAGTCACACAGACCTTGACCAATCTGTACCAGATGTGTTTTAAATGAAGGAAGATGTTTGTTAAATTACCATAAACAGCACACGTTCCCCTTGAGATCCAGGGGTATATTGCTCATTTTCCACACATTTGGTTATACCGATTAAGACTCAAGTGAAGAGTAAGGATTTCCAGAGAATAATTAGAGATTTTACTGGGAGGTCATCTCCACCACAGAGGGTAGAGTGAATGTGTGACCTGCTTTCTCTTCAGGACTTTTCCTGCTGGCTTCTCCTGTTGTTAACATCTCCTGTGCTCATCAGCTAAATGGTTGAGCAAAACAGGCCCTTGCTGTAGAGGTTGTCTGTTTTAAATGCTGGGCTGGGAATATTGTATTTTGAAATTCCTGTCATTTTACAATTCCGCTTTGCACAAGGTGCTAAAAATAGATGAAGATGGCTGTTTTTAGAAAGGCACTGCACTATCATTTAGGAGCAAGACCACTGGGTGCATATTTAGCTTATTTTAATGCAGCGAAAACATTCTCATGGGCTCCTTTTCCCTTTGTTGTCCCCTCCCGCGGCTGTGCTGAAACTGTGAGCAGATTGGTTCTGATCCATAAGAAAGCCTGGTTGGTGGTTTGAATTGAATAGCTCGAGTCTTCCCTTAGCCCCTTTCCTGCATGCTCTCCGCGTCTCCATGCTTGCTAAATAATTATATGGCCTTTGTTTTCTGACTGTGCTTTTTCATAATGACTCCAGCTGCACACATTTTTCATCTGGAGACAACACATCTCGTGCTCGCTTTCCCCCTCACTTTTATTTGTGCCTAAAGCTGTGACCAGGAGGCGGACTATCCCCAGGAGACCATAATGCTTTAGTTGTCTTGGATACGTGACATCAGAGCGTGGTAATCAAATATAGGCGGCTGCTCTGAATTTGGGTTGCAAATGTGAGCTCCTATCTGGCCTTGGAGCCTCCCTCTAGCCCTCCCCCTCTTTACTCGGAGATGGAGTGGAGCTGTGGGGCGTGAGGGGGGACCCTGGGCTCCTCGCAGAGGGATGACAAGGGAGTGAATACAGCTCCACACACTGACCCCTACTGACTGCCACTAAGCTGCGTGGTTTTGGGTTTCGGTGATAATTGGTCAGAATCATTGTGCTAAAGTCTTTCTAGCTCCCCCCTCCCCCCTCCTTTTTTGTGGATAGGGATTTAAAGTCCCTTTCAGTTAATGGTGTGCCATTAGAGTCTTCTTTGTGTTGAAAAGGATGCTAATGGTCCCTGGCCTTAATTGAGAAAAGAGGTCTGCCAACTCCTAGTGTCAGGGAAACAATAGAGCTTTGTGTGGGACACTCCTGGCTAAATAAATGAGGTTTGTTTAATTAAGATGGCAGTGTTACAGTTAAGCAGGCTTTGGGCAGTGGAGGACTGACAGGCGATCAGACAGTTCAGGATATGAGAGGC